GTAAGCAAAGCTGAAGCTTTTACCCTTTGCTGCAATGTTGTGTTGCCAAAGTTTCCTTATCTGGGAAATTTTAAGAGATTTGAGCGTTTCTGGGTTTAGCAAGGGATCTAATTGGGTCCTCCAATAGAAGAAATGTAATGGTGTTACAATGTTTCTGTCTATGTAGATATGCTGCTTTAAGAAGACGGCTCTTGATAGATCCACATTTGTCTAAAGATGTTCGAAATTCCCCTGATCTCTCTATCGACAATCCCTTATCCCAAAACCCAGGTAAAAGCTTTTGTGATTATAGTTTCATATGCATATGTCTTTAGAGGTTTGCTGAGATTCTTGGTGTTTATTATATATATGTAATGCAGATAGTACATGGGGTCGATTCTTTCGTAATGCGGAGCTAGAGAAAACATTGGATCAAGACTTGTCTAGGTTATATCCAGAGCATTGGAGTTACTTTCAAGCTCCTGGATGTCAAGGCATGTTAAGACGTATTTTACTCTTGTGGTGTCTTAAACATCCTGAGTATGGCTATCGACAAGGTAAAATAGTTAACTTTTGTTACTAAAGAATGTAGTTTTTGTGATGCGTAGTCTCACATTTTCTCATGTTTCTTTGCAGGAATGCATGAGCTTTTGGCGCCTCTGCTTTATGTGCTTCATGTTGATGTAGATCGTCTCTCTGAAGTGCGTAAAAGTTATGAAGATCATTTCATAGACAGATTTGATGGTTTATCTTTCGAAGAAAGAGATATTACTTACAACTTTGAGTTCAAAAAGTTTCTGGAGGATTTCACGGATGATGAGATTGGTGGTATTCAGGGAAATTCAAACAAAATAAAGAGTCTAGATGAGCTCGATCCCGAAATCCAGTCTATTGTGAGGTTAAGTGATGCTTATGGAGCCGAAGGTGAACTCGGGATTGTCTTGTCTGAGAAATTCATGGAGCATGATGCTTACTGCATGTTTGATGCTCTAATGAATGGTGCTCATGGTTGTGTTGCAATGGCTGGATTTTTCTCTTACTCTCCAGCTAGCGGATCCCATACGGGTTTACCTCCCGTTCTTGAAGCTTGCACTGCGTTTTACCATCTTTTATCGTTCGTTGATTCGTCTCTGCATAGCCATTTAGTAGAACTCGGTGTTGAACCTCAGTACTTTGGGCTTCGTTGGTTACGAGTTTTGTTTGGAAGAGAATTTTTGCTTCAGGATTTATTGATAGTGTGGGATGAGATATTCTCAGCAGATAACAAGACGAGAACAGATGAGGATAACACTACAAACCAGAGCTACAATATCTTTGATTCTCCGCGGGGAGCTCTAATCTCGGGAATGGCAGTTTCGATGATATTAAGTTTAAGATCATCATTGCTTGCTACTGAAAACGCAGCTTCTTGTCTTCAGAGACTATTGAATTTCCCAGAGAAGATTGATGTGAGGAAGATAATAGAGAAAGCTAAGTCATTACAAACTTTGGCTTTGGATGATGATGTACGATCATCAGCTCTATCGATAAACGATGGCTTTGATCAGAGCATCAGTCCAGCGGTACCGGCGAGAACTAACAGTTTTCCTTCGGGATCCACTTCTCCTAAATCTCCATTGATAATTACACCACAAAGTTATTGGGAGGATCAATGGAGAGTTCTACACAAAGCCGTCGAGGAAGAGAAAAAGAGTCCTTCTCAAATACAGAAGAAAAAGCCTTGGTTCAGGGTGAAAAGACTTTTCAGAACAGAGTCTGAGCCAACTCAGAGCGCCAAGGCATCAAATGGGAAAAGTGAAGTCAAGGTATCATCAGTCGCTCGTAACTTGCTTGCAGATTTTAATCGGCAGCTCATTTCTGAACCTGAGGAAGCTAATCCAATAGATGTTGTGAAGAATGAAGATAGCTCAATTCGAGAAACCGAGGATATAAACACGGATTTTGAAACTGCTGCTGAAGAGAGTATAGTAATGGAGGAGAATTCTTCTGATGTTTTCTCAGATCCAAACAGTCCTCTTAGAGACTCGAACTACATTGAGAATGATTCGGATAGCAGTAACGAGTCAAATCTATTTCCCGATGAAACAGTTAAAGATCAAGAAACAAGCGTAGCAGATTCGCCTCTTTCCATTTCTTCTCAACCGAGCATGGAGTTTATAGTATCTGTATCCAAAGATCAAGAAACAAGCGTAGTAGATTCTCCTCTTCCCGTTTCTTCTCAACCGAGCATCGAGTTTCCAGTAACTCAGTCTAATGATGAAGACAACGCTGCAGATAAATCTGTGGCCATAATCAAGGAGCGTAGTAAGGTTTTACCAGGAAAATTCCAGTGGTTTTGGAAGTTTGGACGCAATCTCACTGCTGAGGAGACGAGATGTAATGGTGTCGAAAGTAGTAAGACCGATTTAGTTTGCTCTTCCGAGTCACAGTCTCTTCCACAGGCTTCATCTTCGGGCAGCAAAGGAGACACAGACCAGAATGTGATGAATACTCTGAAAAACCTTGGCAATTCGATGCTCGAACACATTCAGGTACAAGTCACTCTCATTCTCATTCTCTTCATCTATGCTGAAAATATCAAATCAATTGTTCTGATGATTTTGACTGTATGTTCAGGTGATCGAGTCAGTTTTCCAGCAAGAACGAGGTCAGGTTCAGGCAGGATTAATGGAGAACTTATCTAAGACCAATTTGGTCGAAAAGGGACAAGTCACAGCCATGACTGCTCTCAAGGAGCTTCGAAAAATCAGTAATCTTTTGTTGGAAATGTGATGGACCCATTGATTCTTCTTGTTCTGCTCTCTGTATATATATATATATATATATATTTTTTTGTAAAGTATTGTTTCTTTAGAGCACGGAATAAAAATAAAGGAAAAGTTTTTCTCGACCTCTGTCGATATTCCGGAGAAAACCAAAACTTTTTGGTTTTGTGATCATGTTTAAGATGTTATCAATAAAGATGCCTAAGTTCTGAGTTCCTCTGCTTTGAACATTAGAGGCAAAAGCATAAAGATTGCTGCTCACATGCATTATGTTTTGGAGTCTGAAGGGTAAAATTTTCTGTACTTACACATTAGATCGAAGAAGACTAAAGTAGAACACAACACTTCTTTTTTTGAGTTGAAGAAGATGAAAGTATGCAGAAAAAGAGTCTACTTCTACTCTATGTTGTGAAAACCAGGGAGTAGTGAAGTTATGAAGCCGAACACTATCATCTGAATCTCTTTCACTATCCCCCACCATTGATTCCCTTGGTTTCCTGCGTCGACGTTTTCATTTTCATTTGCATTTGCTCGGTTAGCGTTATCAGCTTCATTCTCTTCTCCCTCTGCGCAAAAAATAGAAACAAAATCCTTCTGCATAAGTTGTTGTTGTGATGGCTTCAGTATTTACCATGGGAAAGAGATATTGCGAAGTAATATACCGGGAACTGCATTTTCATTTAGTGGAACTGCAGCTGCAGGATCATTATCAGCTCTCGCAGCAGGTCTATGTGGTCGAGGTGGTGGTACTGCTGCTCTATGCATACCTTGAGAGAGCCATCGCACAAACGGTGCAAGAGCTCCAGTTTGGTATCTGTCAAGTTTGCATCATCAAACACAGATCAAACTCTATATCAATACTTTTTCAGAAAAAAAGATTGCTATGAGGGAATAATTGGAACTTATAAACAACCAACAGCTTAACATAAATCATGCACTTGAGAAGGATATGGTGAAAACCATAAGACGACACACCAGCATAAGATTGAAATTAAACAAGATTCTCGAGACTTACAAGTAAATTATGGTAGCGAAAATCACAAGCACAGCAAGCCTTTGCCTTGATCCATCTTGGTTGAACAAAAAGATAACAGCAGCAAGCTTGAGTATGAGGAACAAATCAAGCTGAAACGCGATCTGAAATCTCCTTTCCACGACATGCCTTTGATTTGCAGGTTGCTGCTGCTGCTGACCCTGCCCGGCTTGCGCCTGATTCTCTCCCCCAGTCTCAGCCTCATTATTTGGTCTAGTCCTAAACAAAGGAAATATAAAAATCATCAACCCCAAAAGCTTCAATATTAAGCCTATACTTTCTAACAATGGTTTGGATTCAACTCCCAAGCCAAAGAGCAAAGGTGCCAACTTGTTGACACAACTATGATTCTTCTAGCTAAACCAATTTCCTATGACTATGATTCTTCTCCAGTGTTACACTGAGACACAATTGTATTACCGAGTATCGAAGCTAATCCATCAAATCCATGGGAAATTCGAAGGAACTATCACTTACGTTGGAACGTTGTAAGTGAGAGGAATGAGATAATTTGAGGGAAGACCAGCGACATGTCCACCAAATTGATGCACAGGAACCGCATAGATCCCAGCTCCACGATTCATTTGTTCCTCGTACTGTACAGGATTGGATCCGGGAACAAGACCCGGATAAAAAACCGGGTACATTGGAGAATCACCATTAGGATAAGCTCGAAACCCAGAAGAAGACGCTGGATCCTGTAAATTTGAAACACCCAGAAATCAAATCATCAAGTCAATTCGCAAACCCTTGAATTGATCCAGCGAAAGGGGATAAAATTAAGCAAGTCACAGACCTGAGGTTTGATCCCAACATCTTCAGGTTTCTTATCACCAGAAGAAGAGACCTTCTCTGGTTCTTCAGCCATTTTCAAAGGATCAAACTTTACGCTCTCTCTGTCTCTTGAATCCGCGAAATTGTTCTTCTTCTCCGTTTTTTCTGAGAGTCTGATAATTTTTTTCTTAGGAGGTGAATTTTTTTTGCTCTGCTCCTTCGTCAGCTTCTCCAATTAAATTTGGACACGTCACCAATGTTTGCGACATTATTATTTAGTTTCGTATTTCTGGTAAATTGCACAAAACATCCTGATTCTTTACTAAAATAGCAATTTTGGACCAAATAATAAAATTACATGTTGTATAACTTGTAAGAACTTAAAAGTAAACAGAAGTATATAACCAATTTACCAAAGTATCAAATCGAAATTGAAATTCAGTTTTGTTCAGTTTTTATGTTCTTTCCAAAATATAAATCAAATAAGAAAACTGAAGCTACACACAAAACATCAGCCAAGGAACTTACTTTAAATCAAGTAATGAGCATAAAATGCCATTAAACAAAATAAGGAATAATCTTAGACAACTACTATCCAAGATCTTACATGAGTCTTGAAAAAAAAAAACTAATCATTATCCGATAAACACACCTTTGGTAGAAACATAGGACTCTCTACATGATCCATAAAGACTTTGAAACTAACCAAGTCATCTCCAATTCCTTCAATCACAAGTTTTCTGGCATTTTTTCCCTTGAGATCGTAATATTCAAAGTACGGGTTAGGGAAAGTGCACGGTGCAAATATAAGCTCCCCGGTACTAAATGTACCCTTGAACCTGAATCTTTGATCCCCAACTAAATTTGTCCAACAAGGAACCAACAGAGATGCTTTTGACCATTCTTGTTTACTGGCATCCTTCATAACCCACAAGTCAAGTGTACCGTCGTTACAAGAGTCATTCGTTAAAGCTATCTTTCCATTGTAGTTCACCAGATAACAAGACCATAGATATTTGACATCCTTAGGGAACTTAATAACATTGAAGTCTTCAGATCTCAGATTGAAGCTTATTAGAGATTTAGATAGTTCATCACTGATCTTAGCTATATAATACATAACCCCATTCATACATATTCCTTTCTTTTCAGGATCAGCTAGAAGATGGCGATTCTTACATTCAATCATTCTCCATCCTTGTTTAGCTTCTAGACTGAAAACTTGATGCTCCTCCGTCCCAATAACTTTTTTTTTATCTTATGGAACATATATTTCCGTCATGCACAACACTTTGTATAGATCGTTTACCGGATCATATCCAAAAAATGATACTATGTAACTTAACTTCGTTTTGACATTAGGCAAAGTTATGAATTGACCAGTAGTAGGATTTCCAATCAACATTTTAGTACGATTTAGACAGCAGATCAAGACGCGGACGGGTGGAGAAAACCGCCATGAATCAGAAGTACTAGGTAACCTGTGATGATCAAAAGATGGATCCTCCAGGGATCCTAAATTTTTTTAAAAATGTATATTTTACACATACTAAAATCTAATTTATAGTCCATTCTTTTATTTTACGTACGTAACATTGATATTGGAATTTGGAAACCCTAGTTTCGGTGTCAAGTTCATCGTTAATTATTTTAAAGTATGAGTAAAACTAGAAAGAAAAAAAGTGGAGAAGCCAATTAAAAGTGAAATAACTAACTATATATGGCCACCACCGTAACGAGAGAAGTTAAATGGAAAAGCCATTCGATGGATAACTATGGAAGGAGAGACGAATAAATCTGGCTCAGAGATGAGAACGCCATCAAGAGTAAAACCAGAAGCTGAATTATTGGTAACGACTATAGAGTGTCCAGAGAGAAGTGTAGGAATGCGAGAGAAAGGCATCATGAGACTTATGACGGAGAAGTCAAGCCATTGTGGAACAATGTGGTAAGAAGCAACGAGTGGTGACGTGGCGTTGATTCCTTCTACGGATGTTTTGGGGAGGAAGAGAGTTGAAGTGAGGACTGGACCGTTTAATTCGTCGTTGTTGTTGAGGAACGCTCCGCTCCAATCTTCGAAAGAGCCGCTTGAGATCATTGCGTCTATGATTTTGGTTGCGATTTGGTTTTGCTCCGTCGTGAGAAATGGAAGCGAAGTGGAGGATGTAATGGTGATCATAGTGAGGATGAGGAGGAAGAGGAGGAGGAGGTGTTTGGTGGTTGCCATGGAAGAATATTAGGAAAGCCCTAAATTTATCAAGTCAAGAAAATACGAGGTTTTTTTTTGTTTATATAAAAGAATAATCTGTTAGGTGAATCATGTAAATTAGTTTTGTATTTGGTTGTAGTTGGAGAATGCAAAAAGCCAGAAGTATTTTCAAGTGCATTTAACATGAGTCATGATGGTTAATTTTGAGACTTTTACAGAATATAAGAATTAATGGTAATGATGGGATGATGATGGTAATAATACAATGATAGATTTATGAAGATACATATATCCATCTTTACCTCGCTCCAGGAACCATTTCAGTATCGAGATTCATCGTCACCCTTCTCCTTCTCACAGGATCCTTATGGTCGATCTGTCATTCGCCCAAAGACACTCTGTTTCAGCTCCATAACGACTTGGCTCATCGTCGGTCTTTGCTCTGAACTCTCAGACGCAGAAGCCAATGCTATTTCAGTGATCTTCCAAGCCGAGCCAACCTCAAATCTATCTCCTAGACGTTGATTCACAATGCATTTTATGTCTCCATTCGCCAACATTGAACCAACCTGATCACATAGATGCACACTCTCTGTTCTTGAACGCGAAATCGCCGGTTTTCCTGTTATGACTTCAAGAAGAACCACCCCGAAGCTGTAAACATCACTCTTCTCATTCATTTGCCGCGTCATGTAATACCTGAATATAAAAAATAAAAGGATTTGCAACACAACTAGTTAATTATACGTCTAACCGCAATCAGGAATTTAGATTCTAAAAGAGTACAATTTTCATTACTCGGGGTCTAAGTGGTCCCGGCGACAATGGTGGACTAAAGAAAGATAATCTTCGTGGACTAAAGAAAAAGAACCCATAATAGTTGCAAGTGACGAATATAAAATAGTTTCTTAAAGAAGTTGCCATAATCAGGATTGTATTGGTCTTCTATCTCAAAAACTAAGCTCATCCAAAAATGAAATAATCATTCAGATCGCCTGCAGGTTTCACAATGAGTGTACCATGAAACATTCATCAGCACAGATTATACGTCAATCTATAGGATGAACCCTAATCTTGTAAATGTATAGACATGGATAATATCAGAAAATGTGATTTCCTTCTGATAGAACAGAGTTTTTACCTGTCCGAATACTAAAATAAATTTTCTTTGCCACCACAAGTTTAAGGGGATTTAGGTTGACTTCCAGTGCCATGTTCCGTACCGCATGATGCCATACTCCATGTTAACTTCTAACTCTTTTGTAGATGTGGAATCATCTATCATTAAGAAAAAAATGACAAAAATGTATCACCAAAGACAAACTTTTGTTTACAAAATTTATAGAAGAGAAAGAACGAAAACAGAAAATGTTTGTTAATGTTTTGAAAAGAGATGATACATTGGAAGCCGTGTGTGTATACGATTTTGCTAGCTTGTTTCACCCATTGCACCCAAGATCTTGCTCTATTCTACCCCAGCCACACAAGATCAAAGCAGAAACATTGCCTCACTCGGCATGTTGTTCTTAGCTAGCAAAACTGCTGTATCAATCTGGAACAGATCCTTAACTTAGGCTTATGATTATATCTGCCAATCATCCTTTTGACCTTCTTCTTCTCAGCATTGCATCGCATAATTTTGCTGCGTCTGCGTTATGTCTAACATCATGAACTCTAATGATATTGGCACCTCCTAAAATGCCTGCAGTAACAGAAGCAACAGTTGCAGCATCTCTGTCAGTGGCCTCAGGACGCCCACAAATATCTCCCAGAAATCTCTTCCTTGAAGGTCCTATGAGTATAGGCGCATGAGATACTGCTATACTTCTCTTAGCCATCTCTTCTCGGATTTTTGGCAGATCCATAATAATATCTAGATTATGATCTACACTCTTGGAAAACCCAATCCCTGGATCGATCATAACCCTCCAAGCTGGAATCCCAGAGAGTTCCGCATCTCTCACTCTCAAGTAGAGTTCAGAAGCAACATCCTTGCAGATATCATCGTACTGCAAATTCTCTTTGTTCTGCATTGTACATGGATCTCCTCTCATGTGCATGGCCATGTAAGGAACCCCAGATTCTGCAACAACCTCATGCATATTCGGGTCTAAGGTTCCCGCAGATACATCATTTAGAATGTCAGCTCCATTGCTTATTGCTTCTGAAGCAACCTCAGAGTTGAAAGTGTCCACGGATATGAGCTTTTCCTCCATCTCTGGCATACCTCGAACAGCGTCTAAAACTGGTAGTAGTCTATCCAACTCTTCTTGACTAGAAATTCTTGAGGCCATTGGGCGTGTGGACTGTGCTCCAATATCAATTATATCTGCACCATCAGAGATCATTGAGCGAACCCGAGAAACTGCAGAGTCTATTGATTGAAATTGCCCTCCATCACTAAAGCTGTCGGGAGTAAGATTAAGTATACCCATTACATGAGTTTTGTTAGAAAAATCCCACAGCTTATCTCCTATTGGTAAAACCCTTTGTATACCATCTTGTCCAATCAATGATTCGCCACCCAGTCTCTCCCACGCTTGAAAAATTCCACCAGGATGTATCGCGAGCGAATGCCAATGAGCAACTGTATCATTATCAACAGCTGATCCCAGCAAATCAACCAAAGGTGCTAACACAAATGACCTTTCCCATAGTCTCTCATGTGGTATGATCAGCTTATCAGAACTTATTCTCATCTTCCCGTAGAACAATATGTCCAAATCAAGCGGTCTTGGTCCATACCGTATACCATCTTTACGTCCCATGTCTTTCTCAATAGTCTTGAGAACACTCAATAGTTCATGAGGTCCAAGCTTAGTAACACCTCTCACTGCAGCATTGAGAAACCTGGGTTGGTCAGTCACATGAGCGGGAGCCGTTTCGTACAAACAACTGTGCCTGGTTACACAAATGCCACCACGCTTCATCAATCGCAAAGCTTCTCTGAAATTATTCATCCGGTTTCCAATGTTACTTCCTAAAGCAATCACAACTTCATGCTCCGTAGATTGAACTTCAACAGTTGTACTTGTTGCCGAAGATGAGAAAGCTGAGTTACATAATGCTGCAGCAACAAGTCACAAATCACACAGCTTTCGAAACTTTTCTAAATGACAAAATAAAATCAGCAGTGGAATCAATCAACTTGCAAATTGAATCGTTCACAAGCTTCCACATTCAAGAACTAGCTGAGACTATTATTTCCAAAGCAAGTCATGTACAATGAAGAGAAGAGGAAGCTGAATATGTCAATTGCAGATACCTGGAGGACTGGATAAAGAGGAACAGTGCAAGCCAAGTGGAGACATCAGAGAAAGAGACTTCGACGAATAGTATCGGTGGATCGCGATTACCGCCGGAGGTGGTTCTGAGAAGCGACGGAGAAGGAATCTTCCGGTGTGGATTAAGGTTTGTGACAGCAAACGAGCCATCTTTGGAAAGAGAAAGTAGAGGGAGAGAGAGAGAGAGATGCAACCTAAAGTTTGCGCTGATGACTGAGGAAGACGATGCAGCTAAAAAACGGGTACCAACTGGGATCCGAATTAGACCCGACCCGTATATGCAAATACAAGAAACCAGGAAACCAACTGAATTATTTTAGTTAGCGGTTATTGATTCGGTTTTATCGTTCTGAGCCGAATTAAAACCGAGGCCTATCAAAGTGGAGATAAATCAATAAATAGCGTTGAATAAACCGAATTATAAATGGAAACCAAATCAAAATCAACCCAAAATATTGGTTTCATAAAACATTACAAACATTAACCACAATTTCAAATCAAACAAAACCGAATTAGACAACTATAAACCGGAATCAAACCAAAAAAATCGTTATTGACATTTTTGCCCTTCTCTTTTGTGTTTTTATCTTCGAAAAGTCTCATTTCTCGATCCCCAATTCGTGGATTAGGGTTAAAAGGAACCATTTTTATCCTCGTCGCCAAAAACAACAAATCTCAGATCGAAGAAGGAAGAAGAGATCGAAATGGCGTTGAGAAGAGTTTACAGTGAAATCAAAGGGAAGAAGGTGACGGAGCTTCCAGGCTATTTGAAATCGACGTTTTCAATGGAGACCGTGAAGACCTCTGTGAAGAGAGGACTCGATAACTACAACGAAAAATACATTCAGACCAGCTCCGTTGATCCTATCCTTCATATCTGCTTCTACGGCATGGCTTTCTCTTACCTTGTCGCTCTCCCTAATGAGCGTCGTCATCTTGAGCATCAGCAGCATGCTAAGGAGCACGGTGGTCATTGATCTCGTCGGAATCGTTTCGATCTCGAGATGATTTTAGGTACTCTGAAATTCGATCCTTTTGATTGTGTGGCCTTTGGTTTTTCGAAATTTCGGATTTTTTTGGTAAATGTGTATCATTTGGTGAATTGAGATTTGTTTATATGATTTGGGAATTTTAGTTAGTATCTGTATGTTCCATGAAAGTCAAATTTGCTATCTTGTTTCGATTTCGATGTTTTCCATTGTAAAGGATTCATCTTTTGTTCTTATATGTGTTGATGAATAGCTAAAACTTGGACTTTCTCTAGTCTCTGTAACTGGGGTTAAATCTTTACCAAAATTCTCTCTGATTCCAAATGGTTGAAATGTGTAATTGTCGACACCTTGACCATGTTTATAGCTTAACCAATGTAGGGTCTTTGGTAGTTCCAGTATTTTCTAATATGTAAATGGGTTAAAATCTTTCTTAAAATTCTCTCTGATTTCAAAATGGTTGAGATGTGTAGTTTGGCTACACTTTGACTATGTTTAGCTTCAACAATTCAGGTTCTTTGGTAGTTTGAGTATCATATCACATTGATTATCATTGTTCTTTGGTGTTTGATGATTAGATTCTATATGTGAAGTTTTTCTATATGAATGTCAAGAAGTGGCAGTGTATCGATTTCTAATGGATGGTGCTTGTGTTTATGAATGCAGGGGGTTGCTGTGAAATCTTTCTGCTTGATGGTGACGAATCAAGAATTGTGTCTTATTGTTTTGTTTTCTTGAATTTTCCTGGATATTGTTGACCTAAAGGAAAACCTTTCTTTTGAATTGCACTCCATGATAGTCAATAATTGAAGCATCATGATAATATCCATGAATAATGAAACCTGTTTTTTTTTTGTTCCATGAAGTTGTGAATTCACCATTTGTCTTATCATATTTGATCGATTCAATGCTTGGATCCAGCTGAAAATGATGCATAATTGATTATAACTATCTTAAAAAACAGAATCGTTCGAACATAATTTTCTATGTAAATCTTGATTGTCATATCATTTCCCTTCAAATCAAAGACCTTTATATAGATTTCTAATTCAAAACAAATTGGCAAGGTTGTAAAAGACAAATAGTAAAACTGTAAAAGTGTAAAAACAGTAGTTAACCCAAAATAAGAAGAACAATAAGTGAAACACCGAAACTCTCTTACTTGTCATTTATTGGGCCAAAGATCAAAACGAAAAGAAATATTTCTAGTATAAAGCTAAAACCAACTGAAAGGCCGATGGGCCAGCTTTTACTTAGCCATATTAGGCCTTATGCAGATATTCGTGGTCGACATTTTATCTATACAGAAGATTCTGCTTCACATGCATCTCGCTCCAAGGATTTAAACTTAGAAAACAAACTGATTATGAGGAAGACATATAATAATAATAATAATACTTGGAGCGAGATGCATGTGAAGCAGAATCTTGATTATGATGTATGTCCAATTGTATAAATCATTGAACGTATCGATTTAGTAGTTTTAGTAAAGTTGTTTGATCCTCAAACAAGTTTAGTCGTAATCACTTTTGGGAGTATTATAGTGATATCTTCACGGGAAAGCCAAAGCGTCTTTTCCTTTCTCATCATGATATATAGTAGATGAAACAATGCATGAGCTAATTAGTAGTAGATGGCATCACAAAATACTTTCGTCTTGATATATTAAGAGATAACTCGAACTTAACACGTATTTTACTGCAATCAAGTTTATAAATAATCTCATTTCAACGAATTTGAGTTACTCTATTCTTAGGGAAATCGTTCGTTAATGAACTTAATCAAAATGAAATCATATTGACTCCCAAAAAAGATAGAACTTGGCACAAGGTGAATGTGGTTCTATATACCTATCATTAATGATACTTCATACTCAGTTAGGTTGCGAGTTTTATACGAATAAATAAAAGCGCCATTTAATAATGAAGGGTGTGTATATTATGGATGACATAAATACTAAATTCAATCGCATTTTTGTCGTTACACCTAATTTGAATATCCATATATATATGATTGTTATATATAGACTCACGAAAAGTAAGTTGTCACGATTTTGCACATAACGAATTCTCCTGTCCCTTTTGGACCGAAAGACACATTCTAAAGTTACTTTTAAAATCATCAGCAACAAGGATTTTCCATAATCAGTGGGCAAACACAAATAAAACAAAGATTATTTCCTCTTGAAAAAAGTTCTTAAACCTTTTTGTCTGTAAAATGTAATAGCCTATTATTCACTGAGATTCACTTGCTAAGTTCAGCTTAAACTGTTACGAAGATATGCATTATAAACTCTAGTCTTGACATACAAAAAAAGGAAAAAAACAATTAGAGCGATGAATTAGGGATGTATAAAATCAAATAAGTGGGAAGTTTAATTTTGGTAGGTGTAAGAGGAATTAATGTTTTGGACAAGAAGAAACGTCAAATGACACATGATGTGTTTCGACTAAACGACATATCACCTGGGAACAATCCTTCACATGTGTCTTTCGATGTTAACTTTATACGACCAGATACCTCCAATTGCATAATTAACTACATTACAAATATCTTCGTATTCTCAGTTGTCACCATTAATCTTCACTGCTAATGTGATATAAATCCCCCGTATTCTACTATAGCTTTTATTTTTTAATTTTAACTAAAAAGTCTTACTACGAAATATTATTACTTCCATTTTAACGAAAAAATGTTGTTTTATACTTCCTCTGTTTCACAAAGAGTGTCACTTTGACACTTTTCACACAAATTAAGAAAGAAGGTTAAAACTCTTTTATATCCTTATATAATTTATATAATTACAATTATTTATTTTGATGTAATTATAAATGAGTTGCTTTATAATCGTGTATCTCTTAGACTTCTCCTTAATTTAGTCAATAGTCATTGTGATAATTAAATGCATTTCTAAGATCAAAACATTTCCATAATCGACATTTCTAAGATTAAATCATTTCCATAATCGACGTTTTTTGTTTTTTTCTTCTTCTTCATGAAACGATTTGTTTAGATCGAAATCATGCACCACTTTAGCATGTACATCTTCTTCTTCTTTTTTTTTGGTCAACTGGACATCTTCTTCATCAGGAAATTTGTTTAGATCAAAAGAATGGACTACTCTAGCTTCGACATCATGCATCTGTCTTCCTTGCTTCGATTTGTTTTTTTTTTTAAACCTGCAAACTTTGAAAAGAATAGTCATGTTTGTATCCATAACAATTAAAAAGTGACTCTTGAATTCTTTTTACAGATCTAGTTCCATTTATAAATAAAATAAGAGAATATTGAATGTCAATGACGTTCAACGTAATGAAGATTACGAAGAGAAACAATTAATATTGTGTAGAAAATGACTTTTGGAATTTTATTACAACTAATTTTTAATATTGTGATAAATTTGTTTTGAGGTTAAAATTTGACAAAACTTGTCTTAAAAATCCAAAAACGACACTTTTTAGTAGGCCTGGGCAAAAAAACCGCTAACCAAATAACCGACCGAACCGAACCGAAAAAAACCGAACCATATCCGAACCGAAGTTTTTAAAACAACCGAATGGTTTGTAAAATCCCCTATCCAAACTAACCAAAACCGAACCGAACCGAACCGATAACCAAACGGTTAACCGAAATATCCAAAAACCTATAAGATACCCAAAAATAATATCCAAAACTATAATTATAAACTCAAAATATTAATTATATTTAGAATAAAAACAATCAAATACTTTAAATAATCAAAATATTCAAATATTGTTTGTTATATTTGTCAAAGTTAAATACTCTTTTACAAAATTGAATCAAATTTTAATTTTTTTTCCTAATATTTTTCTTTTTTCGTATTTTCATTTTTTATTTTTTCGGTAAATTTCGGTTAGTTTCAGTAAATTTTGGTTAATTTGGGTAAAAACCCGAACCAAACCGAACGTGATAAAAGTTTGGTTAGTTACGGTTATCTATTTAAATATCCAAACCGAACCGAACCAAAAAGTAACCGAACCGAACCGAACCGAAATTCTTAAAATATCCGAATGGTTATTATATTACCATATCCAAACTAACCGAAACCGAACGTAACCGAACCGAAACCGAATGGTTAACCGAATGCCCAGGCCTACTTTTTAGTAACAAGAAAAAAGTGTCAAAATGACACTCTTTGTGAAACGGAGGGAGTATCAAGACTAGCATTTCTTCGCATGTACATTTATGTTTATCCGTTTCTATAAAATTTTAGTTTGTGTGAAAATGTCGAACATATTGGTGAAAGCATTAATTTCTTAGTTTGACCAACGACATATGATCTCTACCTGTGTTGAATTCATACAGAAGAATTTTGGAATTGGAGCCTGGTAAATAGTTTGGTTTCTTTGAGTTACTACTAGTAGTAATATTTTTTGTTGGACACAAATTTTATACTCCTCATAAATCTAAGGGCAACAAATTTTCTTAGCTTGGAGCCCACCAAATCGCTGGCACTATATTTAATACGGATTTTTGAATAATTCAAGTTTTAAAAAACTTTTAGTATGGAATTTTTTTTCTTATCTTCATAATTACTCCAGAAAAATGAGATATGTAATCCAAAAAAGAAACACAATCAATCAAGTGGTAGTTAACTGTGTTCATAATGCTTTTGGAGGGAAGCCGCGTTTTATGATTGAAACATGAATTCTAATCAAACATCATTACTCTTAATAATAATACTTTAGGTCCCATAAGAGATTATGAACTTTTTAGTTGTATACTTTTCTTTACCTTTCATCAATTAAGTCAACTATCTTTTCTCTCCCTCCTTGGACTTTTCACGTATTTATTTTCTCTACCTCTTTTTACGTATAAGTTTCGTATAACTCTCATTCATTAAATTATTTTCCAATTCCTCCAAAACCAAAAGTTTAATTTACCTAGGATACTATTGCATTTTTTTACATTTCTACTACTAAACTAACGTGACAAAAACAAATTAGAGAATTATAACACTAATAAATATTCCCTTTTTGTGTTCATCATTATTTGTCAATATTCAATTTCAACTACAGATTCACTTTAATAGTATAATACTACATGGTTAGATTTTTATACTTTACATAAACCTCGTATAGTGGTAAATTCCCACTACTATGCTACATGTATGTATGTTTATATTAAGATTATTAAAAAATTAAACATAATCTTTAAAAAAGCTACATATGTGTGAGAGTTTCCTTTATCAACGGTTCATTGTCTGCTTAGCATTTTTTAAAAAAGGTAATTAGAAAAAAAAAAAAAAATTAACGAATTAAGAAAAAGAACAAAAACCCTAATAAATCTCTAAAGTCCACACACACACAAACACACACTCTCTCTCTCTCCGTCTCTAACTAAAAACTTGTCACTTACATTTCTTCTTTCTTTCATTTATCTCTGTTTTTCCTTCTTTTGATCTTTTTTGCAAGATCTCTATTTTTCTTCCAAAAAAGGAAAAAAAAAAAAGAAGAAGCAAAGTTTCTCTTATATCATTTCCGTTCGGATTTGTTCTATCTATCTGCACATTTGATTTATGTAGTGACCAATCTCACAGTCTCGTTCTCAAATTTGCTTTACTTTATCTGGCTGATTCGTTTCGTGAATCCAAGTAAGTTTTACTCTTTTTGTTTTTGCTTTTTGGCTTTATTCCATTCAAGTTTCAAGTTAAAAGGATCCTCTTTTGTGAATGTAGAAGCATTTTTTTTGGATTTTGTTTCTGGGTTTGTTATATTGTTTATTCCTTGCTTGGATGATTTGTGAAAGTGGGTTAATTCTTCTTATCTTTAATATTTTTATTTGTGTTTATAATTTCCTCAAGATTTGTTATTTTTTTTGTCTTTCTCTGTCTCACTGATTGCTCAGCCACAGTTGCTA